TAAGCATAGTTTTCTCCAATAATAAAAGTAACTACGACAAAACGACAATACAGTATCTATAAATATTAGGGATGTAATGAAAGTGGTTATAGCGAAAGCGAATGCGAAAACGAAAGAAAAAAATTTTTTGCGAAAGCGAATGCGAATGCGAAAGATCTTTTTTTTCTGCTGAATGATTAAATCAGCCACAATTACAGACAGTCACGAAAAATAATATATAACATTTAAAAAATATTGCTAATTCCTATTCAAATTATTGAATGATGGATTGAAAGAGATGAATGCAAATGTGTAAATTAGTATTTGCATATGAACGACTTATTTATTTTAAATTAAATAATCAAATAAAATACAAAATACATTAATTATAATTAGTGCAACTTTGCTCCCGCCGTTTTCATATAGATAGTTTTAGCGGTAAGTGGTGGTCGAAATAAATAGATCATAGACGTCATACAATAAACTTGAACATCTGTTAACATAACCCCCATAGAAACATTAGTCGATTTGTGTCTGTATCATAAAGTTATTTTCGATTGAAAATGTCAGTGTATGAGCCAAATTCTCGTCATTTGCGGGAAGCTTTAATTTTCTGCTTCAATATGAAGAAATCTGTGGCTGAGGCTCATCGAATGCTCTCAAATACTTATGGTGAGGCCGCTTAACTGCCGTAGTTTAAATTTATCTATATTAAATTTTTATTTAATAAATTTTATTTAATAAATTTATGCTTACGCCTTAAAAAAAATATTTTTTAAGGCAAACAAATACCTAGAAACTTTGCATATAAAATCATATTGAATTCTTTGTAAAAACACAATAAAGGTAAGAGGCGATGGCAATGACTTCTCAAGGAATCCATAATGGCGGATCGGATCCTAAGTCTCCCTAACCATCGCATCGCCCGCCGCAAAGCCGCGTGTACGCGTTCCTGCCCGACGAGAAAATACACGCTCCAAGTTATTTAAAAAACAACCCATTTCACTCCGTTATCTCGATCAGAGAGCACGAAGGATCGCCTAAAATATTTCTTCCTCTACGTTGTACCAAAGTTTCGAACAAAATGATCACTCGCTCGTCAATGAGAACAATACTATTCAAATCCTTAATTATACATATATTGCGTCGTAAACCGTGGCTTATTATAAAAATGACCTTCCACTACAGCAGCACTACATCTATCCAGTAGAATCATATTGTAGCCATTTACTTAGTAAATAATAAAACTGTAAATTTATTTTTTTATTCCAACGATCAATAAAGCAAAAATCACACAGGGACAATTGCAGATAGAGTTTCAACTACATTTAGGAAATAGCAAAAGAATGCAGCATATGCCAGTTTGTTCCGTGGACACGCTGTTTTATCGTCCAAATATCATATAATAAATGTATCCGCCCTCGTGAAACTCTGAATTCGTGTTCCGACCGGAATAATAACGACGGATGGAAGCGCGCTACGATAACGCTCCGTTAATTATTCTACTCGCTAGAAGAAAAAAAAGTGTGGAATTCTGGCGTTGACTAGCGCGTCGTAACCCTACTTCCTGACTCGTTATTTCGTTGTTCAAGTCGGCCGACCGTATTTGGGTATCTCGACCGGGCAATCGCTCGATGAAATTGAGCGATTAGACGTGCGCCGCTCGAGTCGTCAGGAAAGACGAAACGTGACTACGAGATTTCTCGCTATTTACACACCGCTAAATCGGATAACGGCGGTTTCGCGGTCTCTGGTTCGCTCTTCAAGTATCCTCTTCTTTAATTATATACTACCCGTAATTAATCGTCGATATCTCGATCGAAACGAACGCGAGTGTTTCGCGATTTTTGCGTTTAAATTTGCACGAATTTTGCAATGAAAATTAAATGTGCACCGAGCGACATTATACGCCACAGATGAGCGATATCGAGAGACGCGACTGATATACACATACAGAATAAGGAAATACTCACCAGCGAGTCTACCTCCGGATCCGCAATGTAATACGGCTTCTCTTGTCTGATCTGTAACACATATAGACACACATATAAGTTCATTATTAATTAGATCCAGCGTAATTGCGGCGGTATTAAAGCTATATGGACGATCGTATCATCTCGGTGCAAATACATATACGCACACATAAGCACAAGCAAACCTCGCGCGCTACATCCTCATCTTCTTTTCTTCAAGCGATTTCCTTCGCGTGCTTCCTCTTAATTGGACCCCTACTGTTCAATTCGTACGTACAGAAACGGAAACGCGTCAGGGAACGCGATGGAATCCCGACGGCAAATCGAGAAGGCAGACAGCAATAGAGGAAACGAAGAGGCGGTGAGATTCTCACAAGCATTTTCATGGCGCTGCGCCATGCGTGGCGTCCCGATGGAAAGAAAAACAAAACTTTCATCTCTTTAGCATTGGAATTATTTATTTTACGATAAACGAAGGCAAAAAAAGGACTAATCTCCTTTCAATATTCGAGCCAGTAATGTGAGATTAGGATCCTGTCAGGATCTGTCTTATCTCACACAAGTCTGTCTCTTTTTCTCTTTTTCCTTTGTGTTTCTCTTTCTCTCTCTTTCGTTGTGAGATCAATTACCACCGAAGAAACATTATAGCTGTATACAAATAAATTATCAAAATAAATTAATCAGAAAAGCAATTTTGTTTCTACTTGTGCTTCATTTTTATTTTGCAAAAAAATTAGCGGAAGATTCTTAAAATTATTATAATATCGTCATTTATTCTTCACGAGGTTGAATTCAGACGGATTGAATGACTTCTCTCTTACGGTGTCTTATTATCCGAAGAAGAATCGAGAAATGTGAGGTTTAGTTGCTTCTCTATGAAAGAAAAAAATTGGAGTAACGAAATATTGTCCGTACGCACGAATTCCCAGGCAAGAGTGTGTATTCATGAGTCGGGGGGAGGGGAGAGGATTCTGAATGAAAGTTCTTTCTTGTTCCAGTGTGTAGATAATGAAGGCGTCCCGTGCGACAAAAATACTGTCAACTATACGTAGGGAAGGTAAAAAGGAGGCTAGTATACTGACGTAGTGTATTATGAGCTGTTAAAATCGACTGAAACAATCACAGGCGATCGCAATTGATGCGTTTCAGCCGAGTATTGAAAGACAAACGGCCACAATACAACGAGAGACACTATAAAGTGATTTTGCAGCATGACAATGCTCGACCTCATGTTGCAAAAGTGGTCAAGACATACTTGGAAACGTTGAAATGGGAAGCTCTACCCCCCTCCCCCCCGCTGTATTCACCAGACGTTGCTCCTTCTGACTATCACTTATTTCAATCAATAGCACACGGCCTGGCTGACCAGCACTTCCGGTCTTATCAAGAAGTAAAAAATTGGATCGATTCGTGAGTCGATCGTCTCAAAAGATGACCAGTTTTTTCGACGCGGGATTCGTACGCTGCTCAAAAGATGAGAGAAAGTAGTGGCCAGCGATGGACAATATTTTGAATCATAAATGTATAACCAGTTTTTTACAATAAAGCCTCGAATTTCGAGAAAAAAAACGGCGGGAGCAAAGTTGCACACCATAAAAATACAATAAAATATATTTTTATTCTTGAATCTTGTATTGCAACTCGTAAATACATAAAATAAACTGACTCCTATAACTCTTAAGTAAAATAACTCAATATACTTTTTATTAAGTCAACATAAAATAAAATTCTTCTAAGAATTTCTTTCGTTGTGAGATCAATTACCACCGAAGAAACATTATAGCTGTATACAAATAAATTATCAAAATAAATTAATCAGAAAAGCAATTTTGTTTCTACTTGTGCTTCATTTTTATTTTGCAAAAAAATTAGCGGAAGATTCTTAAAATTATTATAATATCGTCATTTATTCTTCACGAGGTTGAATTCAGACGGATTGAATGACTTCTCTCTTACGGTGTCTTATTATCCGAAGAAGAATCGAGAAATGTGAGGTTTAGTTGCTTCTCTATGAAAGAAAAAAATTGGAGTAACGAAATATTGTCCGTACGCACGAATTCCCAGGCAAGAGTGTGTATTCATGAGTCGGGGGGAGGGGGGAGGATTCTGAATGAAAGTTCTTTCTTGTTCCAGTGTGTAGATAATGAAGGCGTCCCGTGCGACAAAAATACTGTCAACTATACGTAGGGAAGGTAAAAAGGAGGCTAGTATACTTACTAGGGATGTAACGAAAGTGGTTATAGCGAAAGCGAATGCGAAAACGAAAGAAAAAAAATTTTTTTGCGAATGCGAAAAATCTTTTTTTTCTGCTGAATGATTAAATCAGCCATAATTACAGACAGTCACAAAAAATAATATATAATATTTAAAAAATATTGCTAATTCCTATTCAAATTATTGAATGATGGATTGAGAGAGATGAATGCAAATGTGTAAATTAGTATTTGCATATAAACGACTTATTTATTTTAAATTAAATAATCAAAAAAAAATACAAAATACATTAATTATAATTATATAAAATAAAAATACAATAAAATATATTTTTATTCTTGAATCTTGTATTGCAACTCGTAAATACATACATAAAATAAACTGACTCATATAACTTTAAGTAAAATAACTCAATATACTTTTTATTAAGTCAACATAAAATAAAATTCTTTTAAGAATTAGTTATACTTTTATATTATATACTTAATAAGAATAAGTATTACTTATTAGCTTATTTAGATTGGCAAACCAAAACGAATGAAATGTAAACTGCTTTTCCACCATCTAATGTGCCCTCGGTGAAGCTGCGAATTCCACGGGCCGGACAAAATCTTTCGTTAAAACTTTCGCATAATTAGATGCGAAAGCAAAAACGAAAGCGAAAGTCTAAAATGATGCGAAAGGTTCGCTTTCGCATATGCGAAAGCGAATATTCGTTACATCCCCTTAGTACTTACATGACCCCGTCACCATACTTTTTAATCAGATAAGCAAGATTACAAATTGTAAACAACCTATTCTATTTCCCTTTCTTCCTCTTACTTTTAATTCTTTGTACACAATTTTTCCTGAAACGATAGTTGTTCGTACACTACATGTAGTACTGATGCATCTATATAGAAAAGGTTGACAACAATTCGAGAAACAAAAAGATTCACAATGATAACAGAGTAATGAAAAATGGGAAAATTGACGAAATTAGTCAGTGTTTAATTCTACAATAATCGCACAGTACATTCCATCTAGCTTACATCGTTTGGACAACAATATATATAGGAAGAAATAACTCGTTACAGTATTGAAACAGTGACACAATATAGGTTTCCGTAGAAGGAAAAAGCGCGGTATCATCGCACGATGATGGCGGAGGAAATCGTTCTCGTACGAGAATGTTCGATGAGAAAACAAACATCGATAGATGCGTATAGAAACGTCAGCTTTTGCTGGCTGTCAGGCGAATAACTCAACGCGCGCGAGCGCGCGGCGGAGGTGGTAAAAATATTGTGCGATAATATTTAGAGAATGCTCTCGTTCGGGCACGCGGGGTGTCTGTTCTTCGGGGCGACTTCGTGTGCACGTACGAGCACCACATGGAGGAAAATACACATGTGTATTGCGTACGTGGTGCGCCGATCCTGCCGAGAGATATACGAAGCAGCTGCTTTGGAGGCTGCTGCTGATGCTGCTGCTCTCTCTTGCCTCTACTATTGCTGCCGCCCCCTCGAACCCTTCGTAAAACCCTTCCCTCCTGAGCAGTTGGAGAATTCTAAGTAGACTGGAATACGTGACACGAGCGAAAAACTTTCAAATTTCTTTTCATTTATCTCTCGATATTAAATACTCTAAATAGTGATGTACAACATTAATAAGCTTCAAAGAATATCTATTGATTTAATGTTGCAAACAATTTTATGCAAATGAAAAGAAACAGAAATATAAAGAGAGTTTTCATTATTTTCATTTTTGTCTCACATCTTATGTGATAATAATGTAATTTTTAGTAATTACAAAAATAGAGCAATGCAAAATAATGCCAAATATTATATGTATCTTGTACGAGTTTTCTAAAGCCAAAATAAAGAACACTTTTTCTAATTTACTCAAATAATGAGATCTAATTCAACATAAACTCTCTAAAAGAATAAAATAAAAAAATAAGATTTCTTCCGCGCGATCAGACAACACAGAATTATACATATATATAAGACTTTCTTAAATACTAGCGTGGTTGATTTCTCTTATATCTCTTGCAATTATTAAGATAAGTATTTTCGAAAGTTTTTTCACGCATATTATCGTCAGTTCGAGTATTCGAGAGAATGTAACAAAAAATAATTTTGTATTATTTGCAGAAGCCGGCAAACATCAAAAGCCGAAAAGAAAAGAAATTGTACACAATAACACAAACGATTTCAAGGTTTGGAACGTACAAAAACAAGAAAATTTTCAGACGTAAATTTTCCTTTACTCAAATATCCTATTCAGACAGGGAATATTTTACAAGCTTTTCAACATTTTCAAAAGAAGAAATATGCGTGACAAAAAATGTTATATATATATATATATATATAATTTGAGAAGTATCGTTTCCATTAAATCTATACGCGCACAATTTTTAAGTCCGCTTTCAAAATACTCCTTTCAGTGTAAGTAATTAACATGATTGTGAACTACCCAAAGCACTGCATACAATTCGACATTTAAATTAGTGAGAGTTAATGAATGATTCTAAGTGATACGAATGACTGCACGGCACGTGTTTTTGTAAACGACATGACACGAGCGACTCGCGAGGAGGAGAACCTCACGGCAGAGCGCGTGATACCGCGTGATCGCTATTGCGTGGTAACACACACGTCAAAACGGGGAGATATTTACGCTAGAACGCGATAATTGCGAAATTGTAGCACGGCAAGACCGCTGGCGATAGTCGTGCGGCTCGTAACAACAAAATTAAACGTGTATACACGACTGGTGTTGAAACAATTAAAACGAGAAAATCTGAAACGTGTCGGAAATGCACAAATCGAAATAGTTGTAGAGAACTATTAAACTTGCAATAGTCCTGAAACATGTTTTGTTTCACAAATATTCGCACCGACGTGCGAAAGATCACATTAATCAAGACATACAACGATAAGTATGCATTTTTAATATTGTACGTATAAAAAAAATGTATCAAAAGTACCGTGAGACTTTTCTCATCTGCTATAAATTTCATTATTAAATAGGTATCAAGTATTTAAATTTAAATATCTTTAATTTAAAATTTTATTAAACATAACGATTTGGTTACATTTTAACATTCGATTAATTTCTAATTAAAATTTGATGATCACTGTGAATATAGTCTAATTCACCGATGACATCGCGATAGCATCAGATAATGGAAAACCGGTTCGAATATAACCTACTCACACTAGTCAGTTTTACGTGGGTTTCGTTTAGTTAATTGACCTCGAATCTTAAAACTGAAGCATCTCGATGGCGCGGCATTTCTCGTAACGGTTTGTTAATTCTTTAGATCATATTATATCGTATTATCAATGATTTTCGCATAAAGATTTCTCAATGTAAAAACATTTTAACGACTACAGCGTTTATCTATATGTAGCATTTTTGTCAAACACACAAGCTCTTTGAATCATGGAACTGAACAGAAGGAAGTCAATAAATATCCTAGAAGAAAGAAAACTGACAGCTTTGTTGAGAATGCATTCATCATCGATGCGGGAATAGCATTTTATGAGAGCTTAATATTACTAGAAATATAGATGCATCCTCATTATATCAATAAAAATCGCTACAGAATCTTTCTTTTCGATCATCTCTTTCTTTCCTTATATTTGTCTGTGTCCACGGAAAGATAATCGTGATGAGTGTACGCACACCTATACGTGTCTCCATATTCAGCTTTGGCAGTTTCGACTTTTGTTCAAAATACAACTATATATATAGAAGGGAGAATATTTGTCAATGGCTAATAGTAGCGATACACATAGATAAATTGTCAAAAATTGTCGGAAAATTATTTGAAATATAAATAAATAGCTTTCTCTTTTATGTACACATAATGCTTAACTGCCTCTCGTGTTGCTGTTAACCAGTAGAAAAATAATAGACTGATAACATGGTTAATCATAAATTTCCTTATGCGACAAAATTCTTTTAAAGTCAAGTCTTTACGTATATAAATAGATAAGTATGGATCAAGGGCTTTTATTCATAGTCGAGCGAACACCGCGACGTTCATTTAACCGGCAAGATTCACGTAAAGGTCGGATACACGACCGTGAGTGAGGCGGCGAAGCGCAAGTAAATTTTTCGACGCGGTCGCCGGCGATGATCGCGAAAAAAAAAACGAGATGCCTCTTTTGACGGGTGAAAAAAAGGTGCAACAAAGGCACAGCGTAACGTAGCGCAGCGGGGGTACACCCGATGGCACGTTGCAGCCAGGCTTCGGCGACGTCGAAGGTAACGAGTGCGCGCGCGCGAACCAAGGTAGAGAAAGAGAACGAAAAGTCCGAGGGCAGGGAGCGGAGAGAGAGAGAGAGAGAGAGAGAGCGAATATAGAAGGGCATAAGAGGGCACGGAAGACTGGAACATCGCGGCCCCATAGGGCACACGATGTGTGGACCACAAGGGGGGGCCGAGGGGGGATAATAGTGGATCCATTGAATAGATCAATTTACAATGGCAGAAAATGAGCAGTTCCCCACTCCCATCTTGCATCGTATGCCCCTCTCGACGCCTCTCCGGCTCCCCTACTGCCATCACCGGCTCGACTCTCCACACTTCGGTGCTTCTCACGACTCGACGACCGCTGTGGTCGGGCCCCAACTGAAGATCGCGCATGCGCTGTGCCCCACGGCAGCCATAGCGCATGCGTGCACGCATGCACGCGCGCACGCACGCAACGAAACGCGAAATAATCCCGCGCACAGCATGCGGCCCTTTTGTCGTACGGCCCTATCGCCGCGGTGGTACTGATACACGGGGTGAGAAGGGGACATCGAGGGATACGACGACGAGGGCATGGCTCACACGGCACGCCTCAGAAACCGCCGCAAGAGGATTGTCACCTGCTTATCTGCCGACGTGCATCGCGTCGCGTGTTGTGTGTGTGCGTGAGATCTACGCGCCTAGTGACGGCCTTCAAAGGCAACGCTCGCTCGAATATCGATGCTTACAAAGTGTTGATTTGAGATGTATGATACATTGGAGATGCGTTCTCGCGTGAAAGAAAAAATAGACATAAATATAGAAAGAAAAATGGGATACGCTGATTTCAATTTAGTTAAATAGTTTTCAATTAACGCAAAGTGAATGTTATGCTATCAAAACGATTAAGTATAGTAAACCAATGTTAAATGACAATGTTAAATTAAAAATAGTCTTTCGCGAATTTCAAACCTTAATAAATGCTAAAAATTAATGTATTACTCATATTGAAACAATGCGCAAGAATATATCTGATTGAGATAACAGAAGTGTATCAGTTAACAATTAATATAAACTAATTATAAATCTCTCAAACAAATGTTTTGTTTTTACCGCGATATTATACACACTCTAAATATACGTATACAATTTTAATTATAATAAAACGGAACACAATTTTTCTCTTGCATAATTTCATCACTTTCATTTATCCAATTGTATCCATTTCCTTTTCCACGCGCGTTGACTATTTATTTACCGAATCGTTATTAAAAAATCAAGATATGTACATAGAGAAGGAAAAGATGACTCTGTCAATTTCTACTTTGATACTGTACGAGTTTAATCATGGAACTAACTTGGACGCGCCAAGAGAGAAAAAGAAAAATATTTGAGTAAAAAGCGGCGTCATATTGAGGTGCGATATACACGCACCACGGCATCGTCGTCGCGGAGTAAACGTTCCGTAGTCATAAGCATTATTTTTCGCGCATTTTGAAATGCATCTTATGGTGCGCCTTATTAAGATGCAAATATCATGTCGGTTGCCGCCGGGTATCTTCGACCTGGTATACAGCAGTGCAGTGTAATAACGTCGACGCTGGTTCGTAGATAAATAATATAGAAACGCAAGATTCGCGACTTGACTATATTCCGCCGCTTTCTCTATCGAGGAAAAAGAGCTGAAGGAAAAGATACGCGTTCGATTATCTCGAAAATCTCGATACGCCGGAAATTTGGAGCGTTCTCTTATCGTCTACTGGTGCTTTTCGGCATCAACAAGACAAAATAATGTATACACATACGGGTCGCCACTTTATCCTACCTCGCGCCGAGGCTTAACTCTTATCTCGTTATCTCAGCATAGCGTTGCTCAAAGCCACTGCTACCGTATTACTACCGACACCCTATATTTAGATGTAAGACTCGACGAATTTCTTTTCCTTCCAACGATAATAACGCGTCAACGAAATCGCGTGAGCGTAAGTCATTCGCGAAAATTCTTGTGATCGTATACCATACTGTTAAAACATATTATCTATTACCTTAAGAATTTGAAAATTAATGATGCATCATGCATAATATAAAATGCTACGGTATCGGTTCAGTCGCATAATGCCACGTGAAAATAACTGGAGGTTACAGCTATCTAACGGTACAACGCGTAATGGGTCCGCGATACCCTTCAATCTAAATGTGCTGAATTCGTTTGCATCGCTTCACCATAAGCAAACGAACATGATAACATTTTTATTGCCCGCGTTCTGTCGCCTCAACTTAATATGTTGTCGTGAATGCTATACTTCTAGAAAATTACGTAAAAAAAGCAGGCAAAAGTGAAGGAGTCTTCTTCATTACGCTTCACATTCAAAATATCATTTTCGATTTATTTCCAACTCTAATCACGTTTCTCGTAACAAAAAAAATTTATTATTTCCAGTGTAAACCGAGAGAGAGAGAGAGAGAGAGAGAGAGATCACACGCGTCCGCATCATATATGTATAGTTACATTCATATCAAAACGCTTAGTTACATAAGTCACATTAATTAGTTCAATATCTTTGAAGTAGAGCACTTGGAAGTGCTTGGAAGTGCGCGAATAACAGGAAGAAAACGTGACATTTCAGTGACATGAAATATTCATTCTTTTACTTTCCTACCATCGAATGACATTAGTCGTTGCGACCATGTATATCACGTTATCGATGCAAATGTCTGCGGCGAGCAAATTATCTATAGAAAACACGCGGAAACTCGCGTTGGAGACTGGTATACTTTCCAAGAGACCTTCGAATAGACCTACGTGCGCGCGATCTGGCACGCAGACGGCAAAATGGTATGTTTTAAAAGGTCCAAATCGTTTCACGGCATGCGGCCCCATGGGCTCTCGAGTTACCTACGCGTGTCCTTGGGGGGACCTGCCTCAGGTGAGCCGCTAGAGGGAAAGAAAAAATAGGAAGAGAGTAAGAGAAAAGGAAAAAAAAGTCTTCTGCTTCGTATAGCTAGAACGAGGCCCGTATATATACCCAGGCCCCAGGTCTTTCAACGGTAATCCTAAAAATAAGTCCCACGAATAGGAGGAGGCAGCAGCAGGGTTCTTCTTCTTCTTCGAGGCTTAAGACACGCTAGCGAGTCTCGTGCGTGGATCTACTGTACTTTCGAGACGACGAAACGCGCTTCTCCTCGTGACTCATGCGAAGACCCGAAAATCCCTTCAGGACATTCTCTCACGGAAGAATCGCGCGCGACAGTTCGCCAACAAAATTGTCAGATTTTCGTCAAGATTTCTCGCGCGTCCAAGGATCTTTTAAAACATACCAAAGAATCGTAAAAATGGCTCACAGTTATAACTGTTATAACTCTATATATTTAAAAAATCCTTTTATTTTTAAATCCCACACTCAAGTGAGTCAGTCTGCAGGTAGAAAATATCATCCCCAATTACATACGATCATTTATTAATTGTAACATGTAAATTTCACATTCCCAAGATAAAGCTATTTTCTATTACCTAATTCTATTAATAAAAAAACTCATAAATCTGGTTACAACAGCACGCATATAGTTTTCCTCTATATCTACATAAAATAAACTTACTTGTTTTGAGAAAACGGCAATGTCCTCGTTGAAGCTTTCTGACGAACAAACGTCACCACCGGCTACACCAGGCTCGCGCGGTGTACACGTTGCCAACTCGCACTTTTCGAATATGAGTGCGAGAAGCGGGAACAGGGGGTGTCTGAAAGAAGAAGTGAGAGAATAAAGATAACGGGAATAACGCAAGATGAGTATACGCCGCGCTAACGGAGCGTATTTCGCAAAGCAACGTCGGTCTCGGTAAGCATGCTAATTAACGGCGCAATCTTTCGAGCTTCTGGCCCGATTCATTTCTGCGAAGAGACGATAAATTATTATCCGATGCTCGCGCGATATTACATAATGAGCGTCGGCGCTTGCGAAAGGAGGCGCGCGCGAAAACCTCGCGAACGAAACAAACTTGGCGTTCACGAATGTAATTAATTAAGATGGATATAACTAGTAGAGATCTCTCTCGCGTGCGTGCCACAGGCATAAAGAAATATACAGTATAATAATGCTTCTTCGTGACGAGAGAGACAAGAGTCTTAAAACGATAGACTGCGACGACGAAGAGGTCTTCTCTTCGCGAGTGAAATAGCGTTTCTCGAATCGTCGTCGAGGCGTGGTGGCCCGCGTGCGAAAAAGTGATCTGAATCGACACAAAGTCTCGTCCGCACGGCGCGGCGGTAGACCGGCCGCACGTTTTTCTCTTATCCGCGTATAGCGTTTTTCTCTTATCCGCGCGTGACCGACGGGGTGGGCCGCCTGTTAGCGCTACGAGGACGCAATTAACTCGGACAACCGTGCGGTGGCAGAAGAAGCAAAATCTGGCGTGAAGCGCTTAACCGAAAAGCAGGGGACTACTTTACTGCTGTTCGCGCGGAAAAAAATTATTCCGACGCCTCTATACATACTCGTTCGCGCGTAACAACCGCACATACAACCGCAAGAAAACGACGATATACGCGGAAAAACTTATAAGACTCTGATTACTAAGTCTTCGTATTATGTGTATTACACCGACATTTTTCCGCTCGAGCGCGCGCAGAATAATTTTACACTTTATTTTCTGTAAGACACTATCAGCAGTAATCAAAGCAGAATACACACACAACTTTTACTATTTTTCTTTCTTCTTAGCTCAATTTATTCGTGATTCGTGGACACGCATAGACATGGTATTATATCCAGAAACAACAGTCGATAATAACGAAGAACGGCAACTCTCTCGCCAATAACTATCGGGGCAAAGTAACACATGTGCGTTCGTAGAAAACCGCCAATTCAATGGAAAGAGCGCATGCTAAATAATGAAAACAGTCGCAAACCGTTCTTACTTTTCGCTTACTTTTATTTCGATTTAAGGTACGCTTTTATCGATCACGTTAAATCCAAACACGCATCTAAAGATACCACTCAAAGTTCAGCTACCACGGGGTATAAATCGATACAAGTCATTTAAATGAAATTCAATTAACTTGTTTTTCAAATGAAAAAAGCGAAACATAAAATGGCTATATTAATAAATAGCTGTATTTATAATTAAAAGCTAATAAAAAATGCAAAAAGTGCTGCCGAAAAAACATTCTTTATCGAGAATTCTTAAGGTAATTCCAGAAATAAAGAGATATGGAGAAAGAAAGAGAGAAGGAAAGATCTACCGTCGCGTATACCACTCGATAATATTCCTATGTGCGTATAAGCGCATGTTGTTACATGTAAAGTACGGTTGCAGCATTAGAAGGATAAGATAAGATTAGAGCGGTGCCTGTGCAACATCGTTGCAACCAGGCAGGGCCTTAATATCATCATCGAGGTTTAAAGCTCTCTGACAGCTCTCGAATTATTTACTTGTTGATATAATATATAACTACTTTGCTCACAGAGGAATTTTTCGTTTACATTACATTATTAAATCACTTGTATATGAAATTTAACCTTAGTGCAAAAGGCGGACGTATTTACCATTGTAGTTATGCAAATGCAATTGACGTCATTTTGAAGTTAAACGAAGCTTACATCAACTTCTAATTTGCGTTCGTATCATTAACATTTTGCTTTAGAATTTGTCAAACGATCAGTCGTATGTAAATTAGGGACACAGGTGGACAAGAGGTGATAAGAGAGTATAATCTAAATACAATGCACAAAGTAAATTTCGACAAAACAACGCGTTTAATTTGTATGATTTTTCAGATCATTTTCAGATGACTGTTACCGAATACAGTGCTATCCCTCAAAAATTACGCACAACTATCTAAAATATCCTAGCGGCTAGAAAATCAAACTCAATAAATGCAACAAAATTCGAAATATAAAATCTTTAGCTTAAAAACGTTTTGCAAATAAATAAATCATTAAGCATCGCTATATAAACAGGCTATACTACACTTTTATATGTATACGAGATGTATGACGACGTCGTCGGTTAAAAGTGACCATTGACACGGATTTTTAGCTCGCGGCTCGTCCCGTCCTATGGGGTTATACAATTTCAAAGACGGCGATGAAACCCTAGAGGGGTCTCGGCCCTCGAGAGGAGAGAGAGAGCGGCGCGAACGTGGTAGCCGCCAAGGTGGAGGCGTTGTGTGCGCATGGTAGCGGGTCGCGTCTCGCGGCGTGGCGGACATAAAACGATTCGGAACGAATTTCGACAAATTGACGTGGCCGCCGCGAGCAACGTACTCTCTTGCGCGCCAACCTAACCGAACCGACCGACCGACCGACCACCACTACACTCTGAACGAACTGACCAGGCGAAAAAAAAGTCCCGTCGTCTTTACCCCTTTCGCCCGCCAACACCACACGGTACGGTCTTACCTACAAGTCTTTTTTTCTTTTTACTTTCTCCTTGTCCATATCTCTATCGCCTCTACTTGCCGCGCGGCGCGGTTCCTCCTCTCGAACTCTATCCCCAGCACTACGGGTCCGTCCACTACCGGATAATCGATTTAACGCAACGGTAATTGTTAATTTAGATTTTTCGCTCGCTCTCCCAGCCGTATTGAAAGCCGTATCTTCTGTCTCCTTCTTATACTTCTAATGAGATCGAAAGATGCGGCTAAACGCCGCGATTCATGAGATCGTTTTCGAGTAGATTAGGAAACGTTTAAAAACTCGCACGGACCAAAGCGATGGTAACCATCAAATCCGGCGAATAAGATTTGTGATTCTCAACGTGTGCGATCTCAGCGATCTCGCTTAGTCTTTTCTCAGGCCTCGCGCGAGGCCAATCGGATGCCACAGTTTCCCCTCTTTATCCGCGGTCAAGAAAACCATTGAGTGCGTTACGAGCCGCGATTGAACGCGGCGCGCGGTACTTTAAGTGCACGTTTCTTGAAAACGCGGTCGCGCGCGGTGCAACAACAAAGTGCAACGTCGATGACAAACGACGGGCAGAAACGAGGTGTCAGAATGACGGAACCGCAAAACGTAATGATATGATTGGGCCGTTGTACGCCGTACGGGGGATGTTTGTGGTTTTGCGGTTTCCGCCCCTCAAATCGACGCCTCTTCCCTCTTTTTTCCTCGCCCTCTCTGTCTCTTTCTCTATGCCTCCCCCATTCTATGTCTCTTATTGTTGCGCACAAACATCGTCAATGTCACGCTGTGCCGCGGTTTACGATTTGCTAAACGACAGCGACGCGTTTTCGCGTGCATGGCTTAATTTTGTTAGCGGCGTAATTTCGATAATGTCTTTCCATTTTGTCGCAAATGCGAAAAAACCACGGTCACAGTACTGGTGCGCGTATAATAATCGAATTATCTCGAAACGACAAGAAAGAAAAGATGAAATATCCAAAGAAAGCCAAAAATGATTAACGCTCATTTCCACCAATGCCAGATTAACTTTAATCTCGGTTCAATTTACTCTTTGTTTTTTTCTAGTTATAAAAATTAGAAAAAGATAAACAATAAGTTAAACCGAGATTAAAGTTAATCTTTATTGGTGGAAATTAAAGTAAGTGTGATATAATTTTATTCCAATTCCCTATCATTTACACAAAAATAACCGCATTACATGTAAATTGATTCGCAATGTTTATTGATCGAGTCAGATATTGTTTTCATGCAAATAAAATTTTTTCCAGAAAGTCGTATTAATTTTCATATTAATTTTCAGTAAAAAATCAAATAAATTTTATGATACAAGAGACAAAATAAATATTTCGAAATTTTATTTTTTCAATTTATAATGTATATTACTTAATTCTAAATATTGAATCTTAAAGCCGTATGTAATAACAATCAAACCATATAATTTTTGTATAAAAATTACTATTTTCCTCTTTTACAAATTCGAATCGATCCTTTTCCAGGATTAAAAGTATACGCATTAATACGTGTCTGGAGAGTTTATTATTTACGAAATAGTAGTTCACAGATTAGTAGGTTGCACAAAGAAACAACACGTGATGTTTTTAAAATTGAACTTACAATTAGACGCATCTATAATTAAAAGTTATTGATATTAAAATTATATTGTTTATATATATATCAATGAAATCACCAATTGTGAGAACAATATCTATAGTTCTTACTATTTCACCGAGCAATCGATAATTGAACGATAGTGCTTCTCCGTTTGTCGGACGATAAATTGTCGCTTGGATTTGCGTAAGACTCGCAAGACGTTTAATCCGTAAACGACCCCTTGCATAAGCCGCCAAGATTCCAGTGATTGGTTAGTTTCATCTTCACGTTACATCCGGTTCTTACATAAAACTTCAATAGGATAATTTCGATGTCGTGATAAAAAAACTATTATATACAAGATTCTTTCTCCATATTATTTTAAACATTATTTGACCATGCCGTATTAAATGTATCACTGTATAATATACCTTTTAGTTACTAAATTAAGGAAATACTGACAAGTATGTGTGTTATTATTTAAATGTTATTATTGAAAATTTAGTAAAAAAAAAATGTATTAAAATAAATCGTATGTTACATTGTTAAAAGTTTCATTTGTACGCGTACGTGAAAAAAAAGTACAATATATACATCTGTATTCTTTTATTTTATTATAAAGCGTACGTAAGTAAGATCCATCTTTATACATTTATGCAACTTGTTTTAAAAATCATCCTGTGCGATAAAATGCATTAAGATGTCCCTGACTTTTTTTTCTTTTTACCGCACCTCATTACATTCGAGCATGAGCAGCATCAATCTCCTCGCACGTGGAAAGCCCCGCGCGCTTTAATAGACGAATTAATCGACTCGGATGGGACAAAAATGGGTACGGACTCTGCAATTGAACGACTCAATCCGATCTTGCCAAAAGCATATTCTATAAACCGGAATACATCGTCGTAGCTATAGACGCGAATATTTTTAATATACAATTTTTTTGCGCAGCGAGAAACACGTAGGATAAGGTCGCGAGTATTTGCATTGCAAATAAAAAGGAAAAGATGTACTTGAAAAAATTCAAATTTCGTAAATAAAACCTACTCTTTAATTGTTTCTATTTTTCGTCAATCTTTCAAATAAAGCGAATAAATGCTGGAAAATTGCTTCCGCAAATTTATCTTCGACGCCTTTCAATTAATCTCGAAAATAACCGAGATATAAAATATCGCTGTATGATAGGGAGGCCTTCTCTTCTCGGAGGGCGTGCGTACACGCACCGAAAGCGCTCGTTCTAGCGCGGCGGCGGCGCAGTTCCGAGAAAGTTGTGGAATCTCCCGCTTGGGTCGGACCGGGGCACACGACGAATGGACAAATTACAGGGTGCACGGAATAATGAGGCTCCCGTTCTAGGACGTACATCAGAAATCGGGGCATCTCGCGGCTATAAATCACGCGGAACACGGCCGCGCCGAGCCGCTCCGTAAAACGGCCAATTGACGTGTTTCAGCTTGTATACGCGCGTGGCACGAGCTGCTATACAGCTATAACGATGTAGAGGAAAACAAATATGCAGGTATATCTTAAACAAAATGTTCAAATAAGAAATAAATATACTACGATGTGATAATAGTTTTTTTTCTTTTATATACGTGCAATTTTGCGGTAATTTCTTATTAAATTTACATATATATTGCCAGCAAGCTGAAGCGAGAAATTTGCGTATAACGCCAAGTATTGTCACCGCGAAAAAATGGAAAGTATCGTTAAGCCAGGGACAACTCGCGCTGAAACGTGGTTATCTCTCGAGTTAACCATATGGTAATGATATTCTGTCCGACTTTGCGATGTATCACAAAAACGATATCGCGCGTGATACGGAAAACTGAATACGCTACTTTGAAACGTAACATCAATATTATGCGTGATTGAGAATCCTAATGACAGTTCTAAACTATCGATATATACTATTGTCTTTTGATATCTCGATAATTTAGCAACTGCAGAGACTTTCTGCTCATCGATATTTTCTTATTCACAATAAAACTTCAGTATATGGTACATAACAGAGTGTATCATGAAATATTCAATAGCATCCTTATATTTTTCTTAGTAACGCATAAATTATTGATGTCATTAATTCTCGAAAATGATAAACATTTTAAATTGCTTTTCAACTTATATATATTTATTATATCCGTTACAATACGATATTTAATTCAATGCAAACGTCTAGCGTTTTTCTTAAATACATTAAATATTATATGATTTCGAAAATACTTGATGATCTAAACGCGAAAATATTTCTCTTTCTAAAGCAACAATTACAATATCAAAACATTCTACGCTAACTTTCCAGCATTGATATCAATATAGTAGTTCGTGGTCAGCAACACTCGCTATCACCAACAACCGGAAAGAGAAAGAAGAAGGCCGCAGCCCTTCCTTTCGAAAGCGCGGGAAGAAATCATGGCGATCTAGCGACGACTTGTCCGTTACGGGCACAGTAGCTGTTGAGTCGAGTGAGGCAGGTCGAGTACAGACCGACTCACAATCAGAAAATCAAATGGCCACGACGAATTTATGTGCATTTCAAGTCTATCCCGCGATTACTCTTGCACCTGTTTCTCGTCAAAACACTGCATCCCGCTTTAGAAAATGGAATATTTACCGATACATACTTTTACGCAAATTTGACAAGTAACGACAGTAGAGACAGATTATAACCTAATACATAATCATCAGCGATTACCACAATTATTATTAGATAGGTATTGTCATGCACTTGTATTCAAACCTATATAAATTTATATCGTTTAATTAAAGGAGTAAAACGGTAAGCTAAAGTGTGCGATAACTTTTTAAGTATTATACACGATATGTGTTCGTTATCACCATGCAATATAATACTCGTTTTACTAATCGAGACGTTCGACGCGATAATAAAAAATAGGTATAAATGCAGAAAATCTCACTTACCCGTATATGGCGTCCTTGTCACGTTTGTGAACATCGGGCACCGCGGAGGCAGCGGCCGCAGCTGCCGCCGCGAGAACGTGTTGTGGAGGCTGAGGAGGAGGCGGTGGGTATTGAGGGTGGGCTGGGCCCATACCTCCCAAGTGTGGGCTATGATGGAGACCGGGAACACCGCGGGCACTACCATGTGGATCGTATAGCCCTGCGCCTCCACCGCCACCACCGCCCTCGAGGTAACCCCCGTGCAGCCCGCCATCATCGTACTGCAATCACAAAATTATCAAAATTACAAACAAGTTAATAAGAGCTTATACATTTGCCTTTTCGCTTTTCATTCAAAGTGTCGATCTTACTCGAAATGCTTATTAATTGACAAACTTGAAAATATTGTTTGAAATTAATGTGCTTCTTATTAATATCGTAATCTTCGAGTTTCTTTCCTACTTAAATATATAGGCACTGCCTCTATTCTGGCGTTGGCTCGTAAATTTAGAATCGCGCGTTTATAACGATTGACGCAAGGACTCGACCAAGTGCACACGTGGATGGAGAGAACGTTCAAAAGGTGACACGGGAAACTACTACTAGAATGTCACGTCTTTTTTTAAGCTTTTTTTAATCTTGTAACAATCGTAACTTCACGACTTCAACTTTGCAAGAGACAAGTATCAGCCGGCGCTTCTAAGAACAGTAAACTGTCATACATTTTATAGCTATAATTATCTACGCAATTGCAATGCAATTAAATTTAGGAAATGAGTAGTTTATGTACATAAGTACACATCATTGCTGCACCGAGCAGTTAAAATTCAACTTATCGTTAGTTGAAAATGATAAAATACACATATTAGAGTATGAAACAATAATTCGGTTAAACCTATTAAAAAATTTAGAATTTCAACTCTTAGAAAGCGAGTAATTAATTTTAATTCTTGCTTTTAGCTAAAAACTCTTTTAATTTGCCAGATATTTCAAAATGTAATCTATCCTACTCACGAGATAATGGAAGGTTACCTTATTGCAGAGAAAATGCTTTTAACTTGATATTCTATTTTCAAAATGACACAAACACTTATTAGAATTTTTTTCGTGGAATCACGATTGTCAACTTTTTCTTCGTTACATTATCACTGCGAAGGAAAAAGATAAGATTTAATCATCGCTGAAGAAACAATTAATTACGTACCACCGTACGACCGGTAATAAATAACCGCGTATTTCAATTACGCACCGACCTTGCGGAATAACGCAAAAAAGAGGGCAAGACCTGGTGATTTCTAGCAATAAAGTTTTCGCGCAAAGCTGATGGATGACGAACAAAAGTGCGCTAATTGTCGGACAGATTCGAACGTGTGGCATATCGATAGAACAGAGACAGAGTGAGAGGGGAGGGGAGGCTTGATAGATGGAAACCTGGAGACTCGTTTCAATTGATCGCGATCGGTCGGTCGGCGGCTCTCTGCCATGCGATCGAGAACGGAAGCAATGATTTTCCCGGCCTCCAAGCCCGCGCGCGGCTTGTCACGTCAGTCTGCACGGGAACGAAAGCAAGCCGATTATTATCGCTAATTGCTTAATTCTAGCGTTGGGCTCGGAATGCCGCGTAATTTCGTCGCGAAAACAAGAAGTGGCCGGGGGAATTTGCGATTAACAATCGCAGCAAGTGGGAATATGTGTTGGATGCAATCCGGAAGAATGCAATTGCGCCCGTTACTGCGCGAGAAGCGATACTGTAAAAATCGGAAACGATCTGCAATCCGCGTTCTGCTCAATTTAATTCACCTCTGGCGCAATTCGCTCCTGCGCGAGACCGACGAGAAAGGTACAACCGACATGTATCTATTTAAGCAGAAGGAAAAATATACCGACGTAATCTGAAGAGAGCATTGTAATTGTTACCAACTTCTCTCCGCCTTTCGTCTAATTTGATTTATCTTGCGTTGAATACTGAATTGAAGATTACGATAGAATTGCGAAAATTACGCGGTGCGAATCGAATCGCTCGCTATTACACTTGAATTAATCCGATACGCGCGTTAAAGTGTTGCTCGAACGATCCATTTTGGAGCAGAATATGCGCAGAGAACGGCGCGTTGCGCGTTGGTTAAAATTCGCCCTTTTCAGCCGCGCGCAACTCGTCCTCGTTTCCGTATCGCGAAAGTGCGGTGATAAGAACCGCCGCCGCGAAGAACCGAACAAAGTACTGAATTAATATAGCCGATATCTCATTCAGGCGTTTCTCGTATATTTACTATGCAACTTTCTGTCGACGGCTTCTCAACTTGTAATATAAAAAAGAGCTGCGTGAAACCTTGATTTCTAAATTAATGTATATTAAAAACATTTCAATGCACGTACATCGCAAAAATATTTTGACAAAAAAATCTGTCTTTTCCAACTATTGGAATTAATAGTAAACTACATATATCTGTTATTTCGGGAATAGTTATATTTTGTAGAAATAATTTATTTACAATATTAACACAAATGAAAAATTATTTCTCAGCTATCATGAATATAATTTCCACTTCGCGGTCTCTCTATTCATACAGATAAAATTGCACTTATCCGAGAAAAACGACATAAAAGTGATTCTTGTCTGGTAGCGCGCGAACATGTCGCGTCTAGAATGCGAAATTCTCTGAACTGGAGGACTGAAAAAGGCTGCGGACAATAATTCACCGTCATGGCAGTATGAAGATATCACTCGACGGGTGAGCGGAATATCTTAAAGGGTAGCAGGAAGAAGCGAGGTACAGTTGTGTCTCGAGACGCGATCATGGACGACTTGCGACAAACGTCTACCGACGACGAAGCTCGTCGTCATGGTAGTCGTCGTCGTTGTCGTCATCCTCGTCAACGTCGTCGAGAAGATTCGCGACAAAGCCGATGAGAGAGAGAGAGAGAGAACGTCGAGCTCGTGCGCGCCATATACAATACAATCGCTATTTGCAGACGGCGTTAATTTGTGACCGAAACGAAGAAGTTACAGTGCGACGTCGCGACGATGTCGAGCTGTCATCTAGACGTACAGACGAGCAATGGACCGCCTTGACATGGAAGATATTTCCGGAAATGGTGTGTGAGGAGAAAGGGACGAGTGGATTTTTAGTGAACCGTTAATCTCTCTTTCTCTCTCTCTCTCTTTTCGATGTATAATAAATTATTTCACTCTTCTCTTATTAAGCAAATTTAGTCAAGTTAATTCTTTCGAGCACATTATCAATATACTACTGCTGTGAAATAAAGTCGACCTAACAAATGTCGTATACGTATGAAAATTCATACGACTGCTTAAGTGCTGAATTATGTTGGTCTCGAGCAAAAATTGAATAATGCATCCTAGGGTTAATATACGAATTTGTCCTGTCATGGGGATTAATGCAAGATTGCGAGAATTCCGACGTATGTATGGAAATGACGTTTTTGCGTAAACAGCACCGCGCGCGGAGTCGCTTCGGTTTCGCGCAGCTGTAACCGCGGCGGCGGGCTCGGCAGGCCGCCGAAGAACCAAGGGAAATTTAGCAAAGCCTGACAAACGACCGCCATTTGTAAGTAGATAGGTCAAGGCGAGCGCTTAAGCATCTCGGTATAAATTGCGAAAAAAAACGCAGATGGCGGAGGCGGAGGCAAGAGAGACAAGACGCGGCGTATTCGCCTGCCTGCTGCTGCTGCTCTGCAATACTCGTGTATGTTGTGTACGCGATTATTTCTGGGTGAAAATATAAATTGGCAGAATACATCGCGAGCCGGCGAATCACACTGGGAGAATTCAGAAAATTGCCGAGTGATGAAGATGCCGCCGTCGGCGAATTTTGCGAGCCGACGAAATAAACACCAACAACCGGCTGACAGCATTGGCCCTTTTGTTTCTCTCTTTCCCGTTTCCGCTTCTCTTTCCTTAACATTTCGTTTCGATCTTCGTTGCACTACACAGCTGTATCGGAGCTGTTGACATCGATTCACAAAATCAATAATATGTATCGTATACGAAAAAAATATCAGAGATATAACAAGTATCCCCCACTGATAAATTATTAAATTCTCGTGAAAGCAATGCAACGCGAAAAATTTCCGCTACGTGAAGGATTTTCGAGGGAAAATAAAAAATTCGCCTTTTTAGTATCTCCACATCACGTCCGACGTGTGCAACTTTTTGCCAAATAAATTTTCGCACATAATGCTATTTTTATTATTGAGAGAGAATGTTATTTTCATATTTAATGCTCTTTAATCCTAGAGAATAGAGTTCTTTAGTAACATGAAGATTTCGCAGAGAAAAAGGCGAGACTACACTCGATACTCTGTTTGACGCGGCGCGCGGCGGAGCAAACTCACTTTGAAATCGGCAAGTATGTTCGCGAGCTCTTCACGTCAGCCATAATGTTTTATTTCGAAACAAACTTTTGCATCGAAATTTTCATTTGACATTTAGTGTCGGCATAAAAATAAAACTCATTCACCAAGGGGGAGGACCGCCTGGCGTCAAATATAATCGAGATAGATTGATTATTATTTAACGCGCCAAATTTACGACGATTTACAATTTATAACAAAAAATTTTGCCGATAAGCATCGAGTGTCAATACTAAACTATTTAAGAGCACGCTTCTATCGCAGAGGAAGAGAAAGAGAAAGAGAAAAACGTCGCCAGTATTTTAAATGAAAATAAGAAAACAAGAAAAAAAGAAACTTTTTTGCAATCGCAAAAACATTGTAATATATTATTTATACTCTTTTATTTATCGAAGACGTTTCTCCCATTCCAGTCTAAGCTTTCTCTCTCTCTCTCTCTCTCTCTCTATTATTCCGAATTCGCGATTTCGTTTAGCATTTAACGTCCATTTCACATTTAAAATTTTCTTTTCTCTACTCCTACTGCATACGATTATACGATACATGAAGTATAATTATTACACGTGACGGTAATTAGTTTCCTTAGAAATTCAATTATCTCAAGCAGTTGGTATAAAATCAGATAGAATTCTCGTAAGCTCACGCCTTGCTATCTTTCGCGTATCGCTTCTTTCTTTCTTCTCTCATTACGTTAGAATAGAAAATTCAACGATACAAATCGTGGTAGTGCAAAACTTGCAGTTAACCCTTACATAGTCACGCTATTAGCTGATTCTAGTAAGACAAAACGTTTTCTTCATAATGACAATTATATTGTCTACTTTGTAACGTACAGCGAGTTCTCTCTCCTTTAAAACGAACAAACTTTGGGTACACTTTTTCCTATTGCAAGTTAGTAAAAAATTTAAACGTCTGCATCTTGTAATTTTCGTAAGAATATCGTATTTCGAAAGTATATCACACACACACACACACACACAGGCATGCCGCGAGAGACATAATTTCTGAGACACTGGTAAAACTACTCGAGAGACGTTTGACAGGTTTATGTGGTTGCATTTGAATGGTCGCAGCGGCTACGGACATATTTTTGGAAAACAGAATTAGGCTCGTATCGAGCGGCGTATAGCTCTAAATCGCACGAGCAGAGTTAGGCCCATTTATCTCGCGCATGAATATGCCTAACGACTGTCCAGACGAAAAAAGGAAAAAACGGTAGCGACGCAGCGCGCACGGCCACCAATAGGGAACGGCGAGAAATCGATACGACTTTAATCCGTAGGCTAAAGGCCGATATCCGCAATCGGGAGAGCGAAAGTGATTGATGGATGCCCATAAATACATAATCACGGCTCATTCGGCGGCGGTACACAGCGCCGACGGACGACGAAAAATCGGATCCTCGTCGAAGCGAACAGAACCGTCCGCCATTCTCGTGGTTGGAATTTTTAATCCTAAACGCGCTATATCGCGCGTTGTACAGATTATTTCCTCTTTCCTCACCACTCGTGCGAAACGATTGCGAACCTTTCATTCAACTCGTAGATGCCGCGTACAGAGCATTTCATTGCTATCCCTCTAACTGTGACGATCGAGAATGCGAGATTTCGAAGGATCGGATAGACAAATCGGCGAAAACATCTAGAGACACACGAAAATAAATGGAAATGAGACTATACGAGAGATATTGAGGTTTTAAATGATGATATAAAAGTAAATATATCGATAGATATTTTTAATAATATATAAGAAAATTAAAAGTTGATAAAAATGACTCTGCTATTCGTACGCGTCTGCGGCCATTTGAATTCATCACGATACCTGTCATCTCGTAGTAAACAGATAAAAATGTAGTTGTTTCTTGGCGCATTTAGCGCAAAATACTTATCGTATTTCGTAAATGTGTTGCAACCTCCGACGGAGCGTTAAGTCATTGCAAAAATTCACCTGTCAAGGACCGCGCGCGCGCGCGAGCTTTGCCGTAGACGTCGCTTTCTCTTCAATCTAAAGAATTCTCCGTGTTGCACGCAAAAGAGTTTGCGATCCATCGAAGAAACAGACACGCACGCACGCACGCACGCACGCACGTTTCGGCAATTTTGCAAGCGCAACCAGGACCGACGACGGGACGAGCAGCGGAATTGAGCAGTAAAAAGCGCGCGTTCAATCGTTCTGCACGATCCGACTGCGATTAAGACACGGCCACTCAGACGCAAACATATTATTTGCCTGAAATTGTCAATATTCATTATATCCGGTTTACTGCGAAAAGTATCTTTGCAGCGAGACGTTAACACCTTGAGGATGTATCACCGCAATATTTATTCTTGGAGGCATGAAATTGACGTCGCGTATTAATATATTAAGCGAAAAATGTATCTAACGTCGATACTGAAATTATACTAACGATTTTCATTCTTGTTTATATAGTACATAATGTATACGATTAGCAGGAATGAATCAGCAATATGCAAGCGAAAGTGTACGCGAAAAGAATTCGTCGTTATCTCATTAAAAGTTGGGGACAACAGAAGAGACTGAAGTCGCGAAAAAAAGTCGCATACGAGAATCGCATCACAATACCGCACGCGTAAAGCATGTAAACATACGAGTTATCGGCGTGCGAAAAGCACTGCTTTTGCATGGTTTCGAGTTATCGGAATCGCAATACGGCCTGTTTACCACTACACGTACGCACTGAATGATCGAAAAGTGTCAATTCCTTCACTCTGAATCTCGAAACGAGTTTGATACTCGAATCGAATATTTTGAATTTACATAAAACGAGAAAAGTGTTTGAATATGCCGAGTAGGATCTCTCGCATCGGCGAAACAACTCAAAAAAAAGTAGATACCACACATTTTTTTAGGATAAATCGTACATTTCGGACATTCATCCACAATGTGTCAATTCGTAAAAACATTTTTCAAAAGAGACGCGATGAATATTAATATTGCGCATTCGTACATGGATATATCTTGATCTGCGCGCCGGCAGTCTACTTTGAAAATATGATTTGCTACACTTGCTCGGTACGAAAGATAAAAAATTCTTCGAGATATCTCATGATACGTCATATCTATATAACAAAAGCAAGAAATAATATTTATTTTTCTCGCGCGTTAGTATTACAATAATTGATCTCTTTAGGTAATTATTTAATATATTTTTAAGAATAATCCGAACAGCCTGAGAAAGAGGAACTACTTGTTCAACATCCGACGGCCAAAACCATATTTTGTATTTTATAACGTATTTGTATATAATTTTAAAAAGTTACTTGCAATCCAAGGTTACGATATCCGCAGAGAAAATACGCTGCTATTTTCTTTTGCATTGGACATACATTAAATGCATAAGTCACGCATTGAACTTGAACGTGTTGTACGTACGTACGTACGTATAAACTTTTGACAGATTTGCTGCAAGCGAGTGTAAAAGGCTATAACAAGGCTATTGTCCCGCAATTCGTCACACATTTGACCGCTGGTTGAACAAGAAACCGCTAGTGACGTGAAAGCTGATTAATTCTTCGAAAAGGGATCTAAATTTTACGGTCTCTGTACGCGAGGAATTTTAATTCTAAACTTAGATAAACGTCACATTACCGCGATGTGTGTTATTAAGTACTAGATATATATTAGTAATTATATTAATCGTATAAAATTAAAAGTAATATATACGAGGTAAAATAGATTTCGATAAGTAGAAGAGAGAATATTTGGAAAATTTTATAGAAGGAAAATGAATAACTTGCATCATCATTATGCCGTATCGTACACAACGCTATTGTATGGAGCACTATACAGATTTATTAAAACATGATTCATATTAAGTCCGCGTGTCACTCCGGGCGCTTGAATCGTGAAAAGGAGATTTCAATGATACTTAATTGAATTATCGTAGACAATAATCTATTAGCGGAATAATGTTGCAATTATTTATATCACATTAGTAGAGAATAATGAAGAAATAATGCGCCTAACTTTTGACACGTTAGAAATGTTTACGAGACACGGTGAATGGAAACGCGTTTCGGAGCGTAGCGATGCCTTTCATCATTGAGAACAACAACGGAACGTCAAGTTGCCGCTTGTTTTAATTAAGCGTTCGTAACACGTCATATGCATTTGTCGCATCGCACGCACAATCTAAGTGAATGAAAATTCAAGCGAAGCTCCCCCCGTATAAGCGGTATGCTCGTGTGTGTGTGAAACGCGAAGAGAATTTTCGAACCATATCTCCAAGTGAATACTCGCAGAGCAGCCTATGATAACGCGTGCCTGAAATCGCAGTGAGGCGATTCTTCGCGGCGAGTTCCTCAACGTGCTGGTCTCGGCGTAAATATACAGATGGCGGATTTCCAGAGGAAATTTACTCCCTGGGATCGTGCTGTGATTATCGGACGTAATTGCATCGCGCGGTCAAAGTCGTTCGATTACGCGATGCGTGTAATCGACGTGTAAACACGAAACAAGCCTTCGCGGCGAATCGGTTCGATTACGCGATGCCGATGACACGGGTGCGCGCGAATCGCTCCAATTTCGCGCGTGAGTAAGAAGCTCGCTCTCGGCAAGCCCGAGAGCAGCACCCCTTTGTGCGACTGTCGTTTCTCTTTCTTCTCTTTCAGCGCGCCGCTGCAACGTTACAAAGCGCCAAATTCCCTATCGACACGACTCGGTAGATAGAGTATCCCGAGATTCACTTTTGCCAACCCTTTGCGAATAAGACGATCGGGACAATCGATCACTTTCAACGTGAGATTGAAGATTCGACCACTTGATCCTAGCTCTGAGAAAAAGACGCGAGTGCAAAAACAACACATACCCTTGGCTGCGCCATGAACGCCCTGGCCGCGCCGGGGAACTCTGCGTGCTGAGCCACCGTAGCGGCTGTATTTTCCCACAATGTAAGCAAGCTCAACACACTTCACTACACACTTTCCCGGCACTGTTATAGCGCGCTAAGCTTCAATATGCTCGGACGCGCGCTGCGTGACGCTTGCTTTCACGGTAACGAGAGGTCGTCCGACGGAAAAGGACAACGAGGGATCACCAGAGCTCCAAATTCCGGACTCCGCCGGCGACCGACCGATGCGTCGCCACTCCGGTTTGCTCCGGTTATTGATGAAATCCTTCGTCCCCTCTCTCTCTCTCTCTCTCTCTCTGAAGAATCCTTCTCACTGAAGGCTCTTCTCCTTTTGTGTTTTCTCTCGTCCTCTGTATTTTCAAAGACTCACATATACACACACGGCGATCGGAACGAAACGACAGCCGACGCTGAATTCAAACTGTCGCGGACGAACGTCAGCACAGTTCGGCGGCGGCGACGGCGGTGAGTATCATTTGCGGTACAACATTTCCGACGGCTTCGACGACGGCTCGGGCCGGGCGGTACACGTGCTTCCTCATCCTCGTTGCGGTGACACCACACCTCGGACGTCCACATACACACAAATACACACACGGGTGCTGTGGAGCTCCACTCGCTCTCTCGTCAATTCCGCATGTTACGAGCGTTCGCTTGCTTGCTTGCTTGCGGACACGTGGCTGACCTTCGTGACAAGCGCGCGATATCAACAAGAGCGAATTATCTTTGTGAGAGAAATAAATCGTGGAGAGAGAGACACACACAGACAGACAGACAGACAGACAGCTGACAAACACACACACGCGCACGCACACACAGGACGCACTTAGAGCGCGTTCGCGCGCGAGGTGATCGCGAGGCGAACGTGCCGCATCGAGGTATAAGCGATTATATATCCGCACGTTGCAAAGTATAGCTCTTTCTGTCTGTCCACTTTCCTGCTCCTCTCGCGTTCACATCCGCTTCTTCTTCTTCTTCTATTCACTGTTTCCCACACAATCGATCATGTCACCGATGATGTCACTATGACGGAACACGTTACATTCTCCAGTTCACGACACCAAGTGAGAGCCACAATGACGCCCGACGACGAAGGTGACGACGACGACGACGGGCGCCACGACGCGAGCACTATGATGCACCGACGTGTACGCTCGCACCTCGCGGCGGGTGTTTGGTCGCGCGCGTTTACGGGAGCGAGCGAAGACGCGACGCGCGTGACGCACACGGTGTGACGGCGGCGTTGCCACGACAAGGCGCGTTGCGTTGTCTCGTGCTCTCCGACCGACGACGATCAACGACGTTACTCTCTTACTCCGAGGTTGCCGCCTTTACACACGTTGCGCACGGATTCTAAAACACCGGGCTCGGAGTAACTTTCGGAGTAATCGCGTGCGCGCACCCGACGTTACGGAACGTAAGTGCTAGACGGACAACGTCGCGACGTGACGCGACGTGACGCGACGTGACGCGAGACGAGACGAGACGAGGCGAGGCGAGGCGACGCGACGCGACGGGCGGTACGCGATACAACCGCAGGATCGCGACGCGAGTCGAGAGAGGAGACCGCGCGAGCGAGAGCTGTCCGCGAGACGGCGGGCGACCCTCCTCCCTGACCGTGACTACTACTGCGTGTGGCACTCGTAACTCCGGCGGACAGAAGGCGGTGGTAGAGGTTCGTAGGGTGTTACACTACGTAGCGGCGGGCGCGCGGTCGAAGACAGCCACGGGGATATGCGTGTTTCAGGTTTCCCCCACGAAAAAGCAACCGGGTGTAGAGATCGCACGGGTAGAGAAGAGCGGAGCGAGCGAGCGTGGAGAGCAGCGCCTAGCGCGGTTTTAGATCCTGCGCCGTCCGCAGTCGTTCGCCAACTGTCAATCAGCGCCGTGCTACGCGTCGGAGTGGGAGACGCGCCGACACGCCCACCGAGAGCGGCCAATGCGTCCACTGTGCCCGCCTATCGAGACCCGGGCGAGAGCAAGCGCGGTCCCAGCGCCGTCACGGCGAGACTCGGAACCATCGGATCCTCCGCCATCGCTACACCACCACTACCAACGAGACTGCCGACGGGCGACGACGCCGACGACGCCGACGCCGATGACGCCGACGACGACGACGACGACGACGACCAAGAGAGGTCATGGCTAGGACGATACAACAAGACGCAGCGAATCATTCTCGCGAAATACAGCGAGATGCGTGGGATCGCGCAACCCAGAGCGATTCTCTGCTCGCATTTGCCTATCTTGCTTCGAGACTCTTCTCTGATGATTGAAACAGGCAAAAAAATATTCTGTATTTGATTTCGAATCTTATTGTAAAAAAAAAAACACGATTCTAAAAAGATTCCTCAACTAGATATACATGTAACGTACATTACGCTTATAGGTAATAATAATCGTGTCCCTTTTGTTATAAAAAGTATACATATAGGGAACAGTTTCGAGCAAACTTGATGTGAGCGGTATTAATACGACTCACTGAAGCACTTTACGTGAACGTGCCGTCGGTGATCAACGTGGGACAAATGGCGTAAAAAATTCGACATTGCACTTTCAGGACTGCTCCTATATATGCACATATACGTGCCGGCGCTCAGCCGATCGAACCGAACGGTCACGCGCGCGCGCAGGATAATACTGACAGTCAGCATGGCGAGTGGTTCTTGGCAGAAAGAATCCACCGTTTCTCTACGAAATGCTTTACAAGCGCAGCCGCCTGAACACAAATTCCTATCGATTCTTCTAGTTTGCGAAATTGGAGCTGATCCTAACTCAACGATTCTTTTCTAAATTACAGTCCTTCGTGCACTTATCTGTACGATAAATATTTTATTTATCAGGATTAACTATCGACTATTATAGGGTCACCAATGGTTTGTAACCTTTTCGTAATCTCATCTAAAGTAAATACTTATTCAGTCATCATTTGGCATCTCAGACTGAGTATTTATAAACAACGAAGAATTTTTCGATTAACCGGAGTACACGTCAATTGGTACAAAAGTAATAAATATTCATACATGTGTTTTAGACGATATAAAGTAATTTGTACAACAATCGATTTGAACAAATCAAAAATAGAAATCACCACGATATTCACTTTCACGGATAGCGAACAAAAGACTTAATTTTTACAGCCAAAATTTCGAAAATTTGCTGTAGTGAAACACACGTGGTGCACATGTGATGCACACATATTGGCTCGTATATCGTCCTACAAGTACCTGCCTACTCTCTTATTACCAGTACCTATATTCTTTAGAAAATAATTCTTGCAAAATTTACACATGTGACGTATGTATAAGAATGTATCATTTGTGTAATAATGAATTCGCTAAAATAGATCAGATATCGAACGTGTGTGAATGTTTTAATAAAACTGGCAGAGGTAATAAGGCGTATGTTTCGTCTAATACGTACCAAGTCCATCGTATACCCGCAGTAAACGAAATTATCAACGGCGTGTGATCCGACTCTTATTTTTTTAACTTTTTAGCCGATATTTCGCAGCGTAGAAAGCCTGCAGCGGCGCTAGCGCGATCGAGCTTTGAATGAACCGAACAGCTGACTCTGCGTAGGAATTGGGTCGCGAACGTGCGGTTTCGAACTTTGAATGGTATTCGGCGTTCGGTGAGTAATAGCGACAGGAGGCGGTTGCAGGAGGACGTGGAGGAGGGCGAGCGACCTGTCACCGACATCACTCAGTGTCTCCCTCCTGGCGTTCACTTCGCTCGATTTTATGACTCTCTCATCCCGCACTTTCCTCCCTTCGCCGCTCCCGTGCTCGTCCTCGCGCGCGTCTACCGTCGTCGTCCTCGGCGCGCGTTTACACGCCGCGTTCCGCATAATATCGCAAATTGACACATCCGTGTTCGGCAGCCATCGATCGACGTAGCGGCGCCGAGTTGGACGCCATCGACCAAATGAATTCTGGATTCTCTAATTTATATTGCGTCTTCCTTGTACGTATATACTATATATGTGTGTATAGAAACTCAATCCTTTCAATACGAGTATAATAATTAATTGTAAATACATAAAATAGATGAAATTATGAGTTAAATTTAGCTAAATTTAGTTACGTGAACATTTCGAACAAGAATTTATCGTACAGAGATTGTGAGAAATTCTAAAGGAGAATAAATACTTGACTGTATTCACAAATAGCCACAACTACATAAAAATACAAGAAAAGGTATTAATTTAAATTTTAGAATTATAGAATATACCTATATGTATATACCAAAAAGTTTTTTGAAGAAAGAATTAAAAATGTTGAACACAAAAAGTGTTTGTAATGACAAAAGGAACATAAAAGAGAAAGTTCTCTAGCAGATTTCATTCAAACTAACATTTAAATGTCTATTATAAAGACAACTTCCTTATTGTTTGCGACATAAATATTCAGCTAGCAAAAATCGATCCTTTCCCCTATATATAGGTATTCATACGCATTACCTTTTGTGGTCTCGAACAAAGAAACTGCACGAGATTATCAATTCTTTCCGTTTGTTCATTTAGCTCGCTTTTTCAGAATATTGTCAAGGAGAGCTAGGTTACATTTTGAGCTCGTTATTTCGTCATAGATCCAGCACCAAAATGAATCCAGCTACATCTGTCAATATAGTAGAACAAGAGTAAAACCTCGATCTCTCTCTCTCTCTCTTGATCGCGCGCGCGCAGCAAGCCACGAGCCATTAAATTTCTCGTGACGCCAGAGAATGATCGATTCTTACGTAAGCCCCCTGCCTCTGCTGCGAATTATCTAAGTGGCCCAGCGAAAAATTCGATAAACGTCATCAGAGCCGAGAAAGCTGCCACCCTCGCTACTCTTCCGTATTCTACGATCTATATAACTTCCACGTGCTTGACAACCAGAACTTGAGATTTACAAGATAGAATAAAGTGTGAAATGTATATAAAGAATAAGATATAAAATAATAAGATGTGCAGTGCAACAACAATGTATACGTATAAATCAGCGACAATTAAATTACAACTTTCTAATTTATATATACCTATAAAAATATATACTTATAACTTCTTAAGAA